TGAAGAAAATGTCATGGTTGTATGTGCGCTGAGATACTTCCAGGGTGCCCAGACCTAGAAAGGAGGATGATTAGCGTCCTCATTCAAAGTGTTTGGATCAAAAGCCTGTACGCAAGGCAGCAGGGTGGCAGTGATTTAGTTTTACAGAAATGGACGCCATCCCATTTCAAACCAACAACCTGGACGACCAGGAGACAGAGTTTGTCTGACCTCTCACCATGGACCAACCTGGTAGGAGTAGCTCTCTAGATGCCCGGAGGCATCACCCAGTATAGCTCAATGGGTCAATGAGGTACGCAAACCGTCGCACCACGTTAAGGTCCAGTCTTGTTGCGACAGTTTAGAGTACATCCAGGGAGCCGAGAAGCTCGAACTGAGGCCAGCTTCGAAGTGAGGCCCTTCATTCCTCTCGAGCAAGTCATCACTTGACCACACCTCCCTTACCTCCATCCACACCCTCGGCGCGCAAACAACGCACGTCGCGGAAGCCGGTGGGCTGGCAGGCGCAACACGTGGCCTAGCCATCGGAGCCTGGTGCGTGAAATAACGGTGCTGGGTGATTTACTTGCTTTTTCTGTGCCGTAAACAAGGCGTCAAACACGCTCGTTACTCGCGCGCTGTTCCCACCAGATGTGAGCTAAATTGCGGTGCCGGTGGTCGAACGTAACTAACCTCTTTATGTCCGCTGATCTAAGTGGCCAGGTTTCGCAACCGTACAGTAAGGTCAAACGTACCGCTGCATTGTAGACTCTACCCTTCAGGGCAAGAGTGATGTCGCGCCGGCGCCATAAGTGGCGAAGGTTAGCAAAAGCGCCCCGAGCTTTTGCTATACGATTCGTGATTTCATCTTCAATCCCAGGGCGCTGATACAACTTCCTAGGTAGTTGAATTTCTGAACGACTTCTAGCTGATCCCCACCAAGGGTCAGCATAGGAGGCGGTCCAGGCCAATCTTGGAGAAACACTTTGCACTTCGAGGGTGCGAAGCAAAGCACTAAGTGACGGACAGCTAGTGTTAATCTGTCCAGTGCCGCTTGGCACGTTTGTGAGCTGTCACAGATCAGGGCAATATCCTCAGCATACTCGAAAATCAAGAAGTCGTTCTCCTGGGAATAGCTCCACACCTTCTAAATCGTGTGCTGTGAATGTGATTTCCATGACTTCGTCAACAGCGAAGTTGAAGAGGAAAGGTGGCAGTGGGCATCCTTGTCTCACACCGCTGGAGATATTAAAGGGCGACGACAGCTTGCCGTAAACCCTCGCTCGGCCCGAGCTACACGCATACAATGCTCGGATAATATTCACATATTTCTCAGACACAGGTTTCCTGAGTAGACAGTCCCAAAGTGCAAGTCTATCCACTGAATCAAATACACCTTTGATATCGAGGAACACGACAGCGATGGTCTGCCAATATATGTGACAGTGCTCCAACAACTGACGCAAGGTGAAGATGTAGTCAATGCAGCCACGACCTCGACGAAATCCAGCTTGCTCTCCATGAATATGGCTTTCATGAGCGCCAGTCAGTCTCTGATGGATGACAGAGGCAAGCAATTTGGAGGCGGTGGAGATCAGACTGATTCCTCTATGGTTGCCGCATTCCGATCGTGAGCCTCCTTTGAAAATTGGGACTATGATGGAGCGGCTCCAATCGGTTGGGACAGTTTCCTGCTCCCACAGTTTGACTAGTAACTCGTGTAAATCATCCATAAGAGGAGGTCCCCCGAATTTGAAGAGGGCTGGATGAAGATGATCTGGTCCCGCAGCTTTATTTAACTTCAACAGTCCGATCTCACGTTCTACTTCTGAGCGAGAGGGTGGATCCAAAGGAACAGCCCACGGAGCAGGGCGAACACTGGCCGGCGAGAAATCTAACAATTCCGGCAGATTAAATTGCTTCCCAAAGTGCCCAGCCCAACGCTCTAAGGGTTTTGATAAGTCGTGGATAGGCTGTCCACTCTCGTCACGTCTATTTTCACTAACACCAGGTCTCCTGCTGCCCGTTTCCCGTATAAGACGGAATAACTCACGATGGTTACCAAGGGCAGCGGCCATTTCCATCTCTGTTGCACGACGAGACCACCAGGATTCGCGGTCTCTCTTCAGGCTAGCACGGAGTTTCGCCCAGAGCTCTTTGCGAGTTTCATTGTGTTCGATTCCAGCCGGAATATGCCGGCGACCATCTATAAGTTCCAGAGACTGTGAAGAGACCCAATGTTCATGTTGGCGATTAGACATACCACATGAGGATTTTCCTGCTGCTAGTAAGGCCTGTTGCATATGAGACCAATGAGATTCAATTGCATCCAGTGAGCGTTTATCCAACTCGGATGACAGCGTAGTTTGATAGGCGTTCAGAACAGCTGGCTTCGCCAGTTGGCTGGTGCCAATGCGCTCACAACATCGTCGCAGGCGTCCACCAAAGCGCATCCGTAGGTCAGCACATACAAGTGCATGATCGGTGTCAACACCCGTGCTCCAAATCGAGCGACAGTTCTGGACGCAGCCTCTCCAGCGGTAACTGATAGCAATGTCATCGATTTGCGTCCATAGTTGGTTCGAGGCTGGTGGGCGCCAAGTCACCCTCCGGCGGGTGCTGTGTCGGAAATTAGTGCTTACAAGAAATAAGCGAGCATCCTCACACAAATGAAGTAACGGCTCACCGTTATCATTACGGGAGTCTATACCATGTTGGCCGCCCAGATGCAGCTCATCTGTGGATAATTTTCCAACTTGAGCGTTCAGATCCCCAGCCAGCACTACAGTGTCCGAGCTTCTTTTGTGGCGAAGCAGTTCGTTCAATTGGCGATAGAAGTCGTCTTTTACCGAGTCATCGCTACAGTTTGTCGGTGCATAGGCAGCGATAACGAATAGACACCTGTTAGTCCCACGCGACTTCGAAGTTTTGAACGAGCCAGCCAATCGGACCGCACACATCCGGCTACTGATTGGAATCCAATCAACCAGAGCAGCTTCAGCCCGGGGACTCAGGGCAATACCAACACCGGCTTGGCCGGTGGTCGAAGCTGCATCGTCTCCGGATAGGCGCAATGAGAAAGTGCTGCTAGTGTCACCTGAAGGGGATCGCAGAGTGAGTACAGAGCTCGAGTCTTGCAGGCGGGTCTCCGATCAGCAACAAATATCGATCGAGAGGGTCTCTAATGTTCGGGCCAGTGCTTCCTGTTGATCGATCTGAAGCAATGTGCGTACACTGAAGCATGCCAATCTGAAGGATGATCGAGGGCTCCAAATGGAAGCTGATGAACTGGAGTGGACCGATTGGTTAGACATGGGATTGTCGACACGACAGGAGTGACGCTCCGCGCTAGCATGTGAGTTGAAACTAGAAGATAAGCGCCTAGGCAGTTTGTTTAGCCTCTAACCATTGACCAATCTGGTATGAATGACTCTGAAGGTGCAACAGCATCGCGCAGCATAGCTCAATGGATCACTGAGGCACACAAATCATCGCAAAACGGTAAGGTACAGCCTCATTGCGATAGAGTCATTATTTCAGTGATTAATCGATTGGTACCGATTATCGCATCGATTAGGGAGATTCTGGAAGGTTCTAATGTTTGTACATGACTACCAATCTCCCGAAGATTGGCTGGATCGGCATGGAAATGCTAACTTTAACAGATGATCATCCTATTCGAGAAGTCAAAGGTCAATGAACTACCTATAAATACAATCAAGGTCTGCTTCAGTTGCACTGTTTTACGGCAGCGGTTAACGCTTTAATTTGTTAAAAGTAATTTGCGTCCCGCATTTTCTTTCGGTTAGGCTAGAGGCTTTCTGGAGCAGTAAAGTGCATATTTCGGAATAGCAACGTGAGAAAATTATAACAGAAGGAGTACGGCAACGGGTTAGTATATTTGACTGTGGAGCGTAAGCGGTCATAGGAAAATGGAAATGATGGAAAATGAGAAAAATACCTCTTCCGACATCAAGGAGTCATTCGGTTGGACGTCCACCACAACAGTGGGCGAAATGTACAAGTCCTCCTCATCCGTCGTACCACCAACAAGAACTTTGCCCTTAGTTTCTCGGAGTAAACTGACCAGTCGTCTGAGAAAAAATAACAAAGGATGAAGGCACAGTGCTCTGTACAGTGGAAGTCCGGGATGGATTTACAATCCTGTGCTCAAAAAGCGGTACAAAATGATCCAAAACGGTGAGGTACAAATCGGACGTCAACTCGAAAGAAAAGGGTAGTCAAGGACCTGTGACTGGTCCCAATACCAAATGCATTGGTGCAAGTTATGCGTTTTAAGTTTCGGTGACGCAGAACGAGAAGAAGGGGATTAACAAGGGGACGCAAGGAAAAGCCGACAGCAGTAAATCCGGTTTAACGCCTATGGGAACCCCAAAGCACATACGCAGTGGGTGTTTTGTGGCAGAGGCCGCAGGGGACTAATCCAACGTGGTTGTAGTCAATGAAAATGCGGGAGCAGGGAAATCTCGCAACGAGCGTCATATTGCGAGAAACGGTTACGGTGCTGCTGAGTCGAACCGATCTGCGAGTGACCGGAACCGCCCGGACAATGTGCGCATTTTCAGTTAACCTGGATTAGTTGTGGAATCTAAAGCGTACCTAAGCATAAGGTACGACAGGGATTACGATTATTCCAGCGTCTTATTTCGATGGGGCACAAGCGAAAGTGAAGAAAAGTATGGAGACATCAGAGTAACCAGCGTTGATTTGGGGTTACAGAAATGACATGAGGCACGAAGCCAGAGTGCTTTGCTGAATACCTTGTGCTGTGGATGGTTTAGATAACTCGGAAACGGTGTGCTAGTAGCGCGTCGTTCAAAGCTTCGAAGTCGCGCGGGACTTATAGGTGTATATTCATCATCGCTGCCTATGCACCCACAAACTCTAGCGATGATTGGGTAAAAGACCACCTCTACCGCCAAGTGACGCAGCAACTACGCCACAAAATAAACACAAACACCATTGCGCTGGCGGGGGATTTGAACATACAAGTTGGAAAATTAAAAGCTGATGAAATGCATTTGGGCGGCCAGCACGGTGTAGGCTCCCGTAATGACAACGGCGAGCAGTTACTTCATTTGTGTGAAGATGCCAGCTTGCTTTTGCGAGCACTAACTCCCGACACAGCACCCGCTGGAGAGTGAATTGGCGCCCACCGGCCTTGGACGCAAAACGATCACATTGCTATCAGTTGCCGCTGGAGAGGCTGCATCCAGAACTGTCGCTCGATTTGGAGCACATGTGTGGACATCGACCATACACTTGTATGTGCTGACTTACGGATGCGTTTTGGCGGACGCCCACGACGACGTTGTGAGCACATTGACACCATCCAACTGGCGAAACCAGCTGTTCTGAATACCTATCAAAGTACGCTGTCATGCGAGTTGAGTAAGCGCTCATTGGATGCAGTTGAAGCTCACTGGTCTCATATTCACCAGTCTTTACTAGCAGTAGGAAAATCCTCATGTGGTAAGTTTACTCACTAACATGGACATTGTGTCTCGTCGCAGTCTCTGGAACTTATCGATGCTCTCAGGCATATTCCGGCTGGATGCGAAAGAAATGAAACTCACAAAGAGCTCCGGGCAAAACTCTATGCTAGCCTGAAGAGAGACCGCGAATCCTGGTGATCTCTTAGTGCGTCAGAGCTGGAAGTGGCCGCTACCCCTGGGAACCATCGTAAGTTATTCCGGCCGATACGGCAAACGGGCAGCAGAAGACCTGGTGTTAGTGAAACTATACGTGACTAGAATGGACAGCCTATCCACAACTTGTCAAAACACTTGGAGTGTTGGGATGAGCATTTTGAATAGCGATTTAATCTGCCGGAATTGTTAGATTTCTCGCCGGCCAGTGATCGCCCCGCTCCCCGGGCTGCGTCTTTGGATCCACCCTCTCGCTCAGAAGTCGAACGTGAGATCACACTGTTGAAGTTAAATAAAGCCGCTGGACCAGATCATCTTCATCCAGCCCTCTTCAAATTCGGGGGGATCTGATCTTGTGGATGATTTATACGAGTTACTAGTGAAACTGTAGGAGCAGGAAACTGTCCCAACCTACTGGAACCGTTCTGTCATATTCCCAAATTTTCAAGGGATGCTCACGATAGGAATGCGGCAACCATAGAGGAATCAGTCTGATCTCCATCGCCTCCAAATTGCTTGCCTCTGTCATCCATCACAGACTGACTGGCGCTCATGAAAGCCATATTCATGGAGAGCAAGCCGGATTTCGTTGAGGTCGTGGCTGCATCGACCACACGTTCATCTTGCGTCAGTTGTTGGAGCACTGTCACATATATTGGCAGACCATCGCTGTCGTGTTCCTCGATATCAAAGGTGTATTCGATTCGGTGGATAGACTTGCACTTTGGGACTGTCTACTCAGGAAACCTGTGTCTGAGAAATATGTAAATATTATCCGAGAATTATACGCGCGTAGCACGGGCAGAGTGAGGGCTTACGGCAAGCTGTCGTCGCCCTTCAATATCTTCCAGCGGTGTGAGACAAGGATGCTCGCTGCCACCTTTCCTCTTCAACTTCGCTACTGACGAAGTAATGGAAATCGCATTCACAGGAAACGAATTAGGTGTGGAGTTACTCCCAGGAGAACGACTTCTTGATTTTCGAGTATGCTGAGGATATTGCCCTCATCTGTGACAGCCCACAAATGTGCCAAACAGCACAGGACAAATTAGCACTGGCTGTCAGCCGCTTCGGACTTTGCTTTGCACCATCGAAGTGCAAAACTTTCTTTCAAGATTGGCGGAGATTGCCTTCGCTGACCCTTGGTGGGGATCAGGTAGAAGTCGTTCAGAAATTCAACTACCTAGGAAGTTGTATCAGCGCTCTTGGGATTGAGGATGAGATCATGAACCGTATAGCAAAAGCTCGGGGCGCTTTTGCTAACCTTCGCTACTTATGGCGCCGGCGCGACATCACTCTTGCCCTGAAGGGTAGAGTCTACAATGCAGCGGTACGTTTGACCTTACTGTACGGTTGCGAAACCTGGCCACTTAGATCAGCGGACATAAAGAGGTTAGTTACGTTCGACCACCGGCACCTTCGCAATTTAGCTCACATCTGGTGGGAACACCGCGGGAGTAGCGAGCGTGTTCGACGCCTTGTTTACGGCACAGAAAAAGCAAGTAAATCGCTCAGCACCGTTATTTCACGCACCAGGCTCCGATGGCTCAGCCACGTGTTGCGCCTGCCAGCCCACCGGCTTCCGCGACGCGCGTTGTTTGCGCGCCGAGGGTGTGGATGGAGGTAGAGGTGTCCAAGCGATGACTTGCTCGAGAGGAATGAAGGCCCTCACTTCGAAACTGGCGTCAGTTCGAGCTTCACGGCTCCCTGGTTGTAGACTAAAAGACGATGAACACGTTTGTCTTTATACACTTGTTAAGATGGCTAGGAGGCGTCTTCAGTGGCGTTAATGCTGTGAGTTTCTTTGTCCCACCCCATCCTTGATGGCCTTCCTTTCCAACCGCGATTCCATTATTTAGCAATTTATAACTTTGCATAGTAAATTATTTTTCGTTTCTGCATAGTAGCCGAAAGGCAGCTTAAAGGAATGACGTCCATCCGTTACCGGTAGCTCAGCTGGATTGAACCAGTTGTATTTTATTCCCTTTTTCTGTTGGCATTGCGGCACAGTAGCTGAATGTTTCCTACCTCTAGCGAACGTGAATGGTGTGTGTCGTTTTGGCGAAACTGGCTATGCCTCTCAGCAGCGAATTGCATGCATAGCGCCTTCAAATTCCTCCATAGATCTATTAAAATGGTCTATAACGCTTTCAAGTTGCATACAACAGGTGCGACCGCTCCGAAATGCTACGATTCATTGAGTGATCAAACCTGAATCACTCAATAAGTTCCCACTCTGTGTACCAAGCTGTAATGCCATCTGCTTATTTGGGATAAGCCACGCAACGAACAATGCGTATACTGTGTCCGATATGTTTGGACCCATCCCCATATTTCAGTCATGAGTCATGCCTTTCCACAACGCATTCGCGTATATATTAGAAACACCAGCATCTGCAACGCTTGTCCGGCTAACCAATCGGCGATTAGTGTTGGACAGAAAATACTCGAACTTGCCTTAGGGACGCATACAATCGGGTACGAAGCGATGGATTTTGCTCTACCTTTTGATGGCCTGCGTGAGAGTAATGCGACAAAGTCAGTTCATGCAGAGATGGGCGCAGAGATACCACATGAGCCAGTCGAATGATCGATAGCTCCGGTGGCAGCGCGGTATGCTGACTGTCGTTCGTTCGGGGCAAACTGAGCCGGAGGACACGAGAAGCTTATTTGGCATTGAATGTGGACGGGCTGTAGTTATGCCAAGCTGGTTGAAAGAAGAGATGACGCAATTGGTGTGGTGCTCGCTCACCTAAGCACGCCGTGGCGAATAAGTATATGCCAAAAATTAAGTTACCTAGCTGTGCGAAGAAACGTAGTGTCGAAACAGTCGACATTGTTCCCGAGATGAATAGTAAACTAGCGGATGCACAGACTGAGCTGATCATGCTTAAGCAAAAGGCCTCCTTTTAATCCGCTGACACGATACCTGTTCTCGCTGTCATATAAAATGAAAGGGTTTCCTAATCGCTATCCACCGTACATATAGCATGCGAGTAAAATAAGGGAACAACCGCTAAAATGCATCATTGTACAATCAGATCGCAAAGTCCCATCATCTTCAATGTCCCAAACAGAGATCCATTGATATATATGATGTGAACCTTACTTAAGGCAAGTATTCTAACAGAGAATCGCTGTAGTTTGATACGACTCCATAAGAGGTCACAAGAGCATATCTGTCCACTAGTGCGTCCACGAATGACACCCTAGCTCAATCATTGATAGTCGCTCATCTAAACTCCACTCGAGTGAACTGAAAACCAAACCGCTTACCACGCCTGAGCTGCATCCCCAGGTTTACATGGATACATAAAAGTTGCTGGGATACTACATGCTTCGACACGGTTTGTTTGAATAACAACTTCCTGGTAGTGTGGGAATCGTTGAGCCGTAAAAGCAGGCAAAGTTTCTAAAGTAAGCCT